CAATGTCCTTCCAACACAGCAGTTGTCTGCCCATCATGTGGTTTCTTATTTGGTTTGGAATTTGTATATTTGTCTTCATAAAAAAAGTGCATAAAGTGGTCCCAGTTTTCAAACAATCTTTTTAGGCATCTTGCAATACTGAGCCATCTGGTGCATGCATGCTTGATACTTTTCATCTGTTCTGCACCATACAGGACTTGCAGGTTTTTCAATTCACACTGTCTCTTCAAACTTTTCTTGAAGAAGTAACAAACGTCAACCAGGACCTCCTCAACTTGGGGGAGACAGGAAGCCCCACTTTTTTAGCTGCAAGATGCACCAGATGGAGGCAGGGTCATGCCAGATAAATGTCTTGCTCTCCTTTAATAAAACTGTATACTCCATTGTATTAGCCAGTCATCACATTGGCATTGTCACAGCCTAATGCAATGCAGTTTACCTATTGTATTGGCCAGTCATCACATTGACATCGTCACAGCTAAATGCAATGCAGTTTACCCATGAAATGCCCCGTGAATTCAATTCATCTGCCATGATCTTAAATATATATTCTGTCCTGTGGCCGAGGATGCTTAGTACAAAGCTGGGAGATGAGAATTTACAAGGCCACCCTATCCTTCAATGGTGACCTCTGGAGAGTACTGCTTTTTTATGAGTCTTTACTACCATCAGTAGCAATACTGAATGGCAATCTCGGCATCCTAATGGCTAATTTCTTCATAGTCATTGTAGACATTTCTAAAATCATAGCTGTTGCTATATCTCTGCCACATTTTATATCTGATATGAATAAAAGAAAATTAAATAATAAAGATATTAATGAAAATATTTGGTATGACACTAAAATAATTATTCCTAATAGGAATCCTATGGCACAATTCATCTTTAAAGCTGCACTCAGAAATTTGCTCTTTATATTTTATTAAAACATAGCTTCTACACAAGCTACTTGATTTTGGAAAAGTGATTTTGAATTTAATATTTGACAAAAAGATGTCAAGGATGTACTTTTTACTCAGAACTTACAGGCTTTGATTTCAAAATGTTTTTTGCAATCGTTTTGACACTCAATAACTACAGCAAGTCGTTGAGGGGATTTATTGTTTAAGGGATAGAGCTGTTTTGTGGGTTCTAAAAATATATTTCAATATTTCAAATGCGACTAACTAGATATTAAAAATTATGTCCAAATCCAACTTCCCAGTGCAGAACAGTTGGATAATGTATTTTATTTTAAAAACCTTCTCTAGTTTTCTCCGTTTTTATAATTGCGGTTCTGGCGAACAAAATAATTATGTAACAAAACTACATCACACGTCTGGTAGCAGAAAAAGGGGATGGTCGAGTGAAGTTATTGCGAGGGCAACTAGACTAAATATTACTGTTGACGCATCTAGGTAGTTCATTGTGACGCACAAAGCAACAATATGACAATCATTACATATAACATAATGTCACACGTCAATCTACTGTCACTAAAACACGACCCCTTCCTTAAACTGTGCACAATATTGCCACTACTTTTGTCATCACATTGCCATGCAAACTCATCTGAAGCATTTGCCCGTGCACACAAGTTCATACCCTTCTTACAATGGGGACATTCGTATCTATCTGCAATGAGACCGGTACTCATGAGCCAATCTATCACACTCCTTTCGCCCTGAATTTCCAGACGATTCCAAAAATGGGCGTTAAATTCAGGCTCCATCTGCATAAATTTACCCAATATCTATCTAACTAAAACTGCTGACGATGCAAAAAAACAACCCATTTTGAACTTACCGGGCACCCGGTCAAGCAATCAAGAATAGCAACAGACGTAATATTTAAGCATTCCTTTCTATATCCGCATCATTATAAAGTACCCAACAAAAAATAATAATTTCTCACCATTTTGTCAAAATAGAACATAAAATAAAATTTTATGTCTATATTTAAAAATTATATTTCTTTTTTTCATTTATTATGAAAATAAAAACCCAAAAGAAACAAATACAATATAATATTAAACATTCCTCGGGCGAATTAATACTAATACATAAAAAT